CACTGGATAACTTTCAAGCGCTATGCCGAATCCGCTATTTGATTGGTTCAACCAAAACAAAAGAAATTAATTGGAAGTCACTCGCCTGCAGCCACAGAGTCCTCATTCCTCAAAGGAATTGCCTGTTGACCCCACTGCTTCGTGATTATGGATGACGACTTGGGGGCCGTCAGTTGCACCAAACTCAGGCGAGACTTAACTTCAGTGAGCAAATTAATTAGCTCCTGTGCCATCTCAAACTCCCGCTCGCGTTCGGTCTGCCTCATCTCGATTTGGCAGCCATACGTCCCGCCCACCATTCGAACCAAGTTCTGCCAAGTGCTTAGAAAGGCCATCATTATAGGACTGACAACTATGTCGGCCAGAGCTGCCAAAAACTCCTGAATAGACTTCATGTCGACGCCGGAGAGGATAACATGGACCAGTTTCATCAGCACGCGACCCAGCGTCTTGTGGATGCCATGCAGAAAAAAGGCGCGTTTCTTGGCTCCAACAAGTTCATCCAACTTCAGCACGTAGTTCGGATGACCGTAAATGGCCTGACGAACAATCTGTGTGATCTCATCGGGTTCCAGCTGGTTTGAAGCCGTACTGCGGATGTTGCCTTCCATGAGATTGATTAGCTTCCCGGCATGGTTAATGAGACTCTCAATTGGTTTCATGTCAACAGGAGGGTCGCGCTTGTTTATGACATTGAGCGCCTCCCAGGCGCAGCGCCATTTCCAATTGGCTAGCAACCCGTCTATGTAGTTAACCAGGGGCGTGGGCAAGTTCGGCGCCTTAAAGTCATTGAAGAGATTCTCCCGGTTGAAGGAACAGGAGAGTGCCACGGCTTCTACTGGGTTCTCCAACAAATCCACTATTTGTACCTTCTTATTGAGGTTCGGCAGAAGATCTGGTTTTCCAAACCTGATACAAGGAAAAAGTGAAATAACAGGCATGCTCAACGGTGTCCTTAATGGTGATGAGCAAACCATCAGCTGTCAGCAGGATTTTCAAGCACAACAACTCGTGATAACAACTTACGTGGGGTCACGGGTGGGGCGAAGCAACAAGAATTGTAGGACTAGGGATGGAGCAAAAGGGGTGTTGTTTAGTAATCCCCCCACTCCGCGCGAACCGCTTGCATTTGAAGGCTACTAGCATGTGCGCACGCACTAGTGTATGCTGATCCCAATCCGGTCTGGCCAATCACCTTCAGGACTGTCTCACACTGGACCCCACTCTGACGACTGCCACACTCACACGCATCGAATACTGCCCCATCGGCTGCAGGTGCATGCTCGCCCGACGGTCAGCTTCTTCCTATCTGTACAAAATTTACTTTTCTTTCCCAACTGGCATTCTACTCCTTCTCCAACGACGTGGAACCGCGCCTGAAGATCGCAGCTGCAAGAGATTTCCCAGTTAATTTAAACCACTGTGTTTGGCTTCTTGTCCATACCCACAGAGTCAATTTCTTGGGTCTTGTTACCGCTTTACCTGAGTAAATAATAGGGTTTGTCGAGCACTAGAACAATTGGGTTTTTTCTGAGCTTTAACAGTTTTGTACCTATTTGCTGCTTAACGCAAAGAGCTAGAAAAATCTGCTTGACAGAAACTTTTGAAATGGAGCTCCGGAAACTCCAGGACATCTTCGAGGGAACGGATATCCGGGCAGATTCATTGCAGGGTATATGATGGAGAGAGGAACAAAGCCCACCATACTCACTGTGGGAAAGAAGACCCTAGTCCACAAAGTCCCTCAAACAAGCCGCATCACTAACCATCCCAACAGCGAAAGTTCGGGTGCTATTCTCAACAAACCCGGTATTGCACGGCGAATGTAAGGATAGGCTGCCAGCCCAGACCACTTCTTTGTGCGTCTTCTCATTGACTTGCTCCTGTGGAGCAGGTTATATCCGTCACACGAGTCCGTGCTTATCCAAAAGAATAGGGAAGCACCTCCCGGAGTGGCTAGCCGGAGGTGAAGTCAGAAGCATCAACAGCACCAGCCTTGCCTAGATGGTTGACTCCGGATATCGTGTAGACCCCAGCGAAGCCTTAAAGGCAATTTTTGAGGTCCCGCCAAACTACCCAAAGTCCCCGGGTCAGCGTTTGCTAGCAACCGCAGAAGCAACCGCGATCCGGTTGAGGAAGCAGGTTTTGTGCACGCAAAAAGAACCTCCTCCATGCCCCGAGCTTGGCATGACCAATGGTTACATAACTGCCTGCATCTTTCCGCGCTTCCTTTTCCTTCCATCCTCCACCCTGTCCGGATTCAACAAGCCCCCATCACCTCGCAACCAGACGACTAC